GGCGGGCGCTAACGGCGCTGGCGGCCGGCATCCAATCTTTTCGATGGAGAGGCGGGATGAACCCAGGGGAAGCGAATCATGAAAGGGAGGAGGCGGGATTGCTGCCGGTTGAGGCGAATCCTGACCGTGAGGAGGGCCTGGTCTCAGCCAACCCCTAGCAAGGTCTCCGGGGCCAAAGGATTGGAAAATAATGATGGAGGACGTTGGAAGGAAGTCCCGGGCAAGGGAGGGGCAGAAGCCATCGGAAGAAAGCTTGGCGTCCACCTCCACCCCACGATTCCAGTCCTAAAAATGTTATTATTAAATCTGCAAAGGAAGCCTTCCTATTCCTGGACCACTAGGGTAAAGAAGATGCTATAAGAGCCTTGGCCGGTGTGCTCCGTGGTTAGAATGTAGGGCCCAGACACCCAAAGGTCACCAGTTGGATGCCCCATCAAGGGCACATGTACCTGGGTTGCAGGTTCGATCCCCTGCCCTAGTCGGGTAGCCTGCGGGCTGTTTCTCTCTCTCTCCCTCCCTCTCCCTTCCCTCTTCCCCCCTCCCTTCCTTCCACTCTCTAAAATTTAATCAGTGGAAAGAATATCCTCCTGTGAGATTAACAACAACAAAGATGATATAAGAATAGTAAGATTAAAAAAAAGATCATGGATACAGACAAGAGACGGGAAGAACTGGGGAGGGGTTGGAGCTGGAGGGAGGGGAGTAAAGGGGAGAAAATGGAGACGCCTGTAATACTTTCAACAATAAAATAAATTAAAAAAAAAAAATCACGAAGATGCTACCTATAGCATCCCAGTTGGGGCTGGGATATCTATGTCCAGAATACCCCGACTTAGTTAGGTTGTGGATAAAATGTTGTATATATACATGTATATGGTATCTTAAGAGATATCAATGTTATTTTGTTGCACTGACATTTCACTCTCAACTCTCAGTTTAAATGTCACCTCAAAGAAACCATCCCTGATCTTGTCGTTCTGTCGTAGTTCCGTTTTGTTCTTTCTCTTTCTCTTTGCACTTTTCACCTTCTGAAGTTATCAGAGCCTGGATCAAACAGGCATTGTGCCTTCACCTTCCTTCAGCCATCTAACAAATGTGAACAAGAAAATAGTACTTTATAGTCTTTGCCTATGTAATTTTCTCCTTTAGATGAGTTAGGCCAGATTATCTCTCTTATTCATGATTATAAAACTATCTTCTTTGCTTTCTATGAAATGCTATAACTGTTTTTATTAATCATCTTTTGTTTGGAAAAATGCTGGCCCTGGTTTGTATGACTTAGATGGGAGAAAATGCCTGTGGGGCACATTTTCGAATGTTCATTGCATAAAACTTTGAAAAACACAAAAGCAGGATAGAAATAATCACTTATAAATCCACTACCTAGTGATAATAATTCGATGTGTTTCTAGATGATCTTTAAGTACCATTCCAGTTTCAGAAACACTGTTTCTACTTCTCAGATACTGCTATTTCTTGATTATGGAGTAGGCTGGGCATCCAGTGGAGGGTCATACTGAGTTTGTGCAAAAGATCCATCTAGGCACCAGGATGGCTGTAATTAAAGAAAAAAGGAGCCCAGCGGGGCGTGGCTCAGGGGTTGAGCATGGACCTGGGATCCAGGTGATCGGGGTTCGATTCCTGGTCAGGGCACTTGCCCGGGTTGCAGGATGGATCGCCATGATCCCCAGTCGGGGGCGTGCAGGAGGCAGCCGATCAATGACTCTCTCATCACTGATGTTTCTGTCTCTCTTTCTCCCTCTCCTTTCCTCTCTCTGAAATCAATAAAGATATACTTTTAAAAAATAAACAAAAAAAAACCCACAAAAAAATACTTCCATTTAAAAAAAAAAGGACATTGCTGGTGGGAATGTAAAATGTTTCAGCTGCTGTGGAAAACAGCTTGGCAGTTGCTCAAAAGTTAAATATAGAATTCTCATATGACTCAGCAATTTCACTTTAGGTATTTGGCATATACCCCCCACCCCCAATTGAAAATTAGTACTCAAACAAATACATGTAGCCTCATGTTCACAGCAGCACTATCATCACAATAGCCAAAAGATAGAAACAACCCAAATGTCCATCAATTGATGAATGAATAAAATTGTGGTATATACATACAGGACAGTGGAATATTATTCAACCATAAAAAGTAACTAAGGAATGATACATGCAATACCTTAGATAAACCTTGAAAACATGCTAAGTGAAAGAAGGCAGACACAATAGGTCACATATTGTATGGCTGCATTCATATGAAATGTCTATAATAGGTAAATCTATAGAGACAGAATACAGAGTGGTTGGGAAGTAAGGGGAATGGGAGGAACAGCTTAATTGGTGCCAGGTATCCTTTTGGGGTGATAAAACTGTTTTGGAACTAGATAGAGGTGGTGGTTGCACAACACTGTGAATGCACTAAAGGCCAATGAGTTGTTCACTTTAAAATGATTAATTGTATGTCATGTGTATTTTACCTCAATTTTTTAAAACAAGAGTCTTTGGTTAGCTGTGTGCGGCTGTGCTCGGAGCCCTTTAAGGGCCGCAAGGAAAGCGGTGAGGCCAGAGAGGCGGGCCTGTACGAGTCACGTGAAGCAGCGCCTGCGCAGACGAGTCACGTGGTGGCTGGGCCGGGGAAATGGCGGCTTCAGGAGAGAGCGGGGCTTCGGGCGGCGGAGGGAGCACAGAGGAGGCATTTATGACCTTCTACAGTGAGGTGATCTACGAGGAATGAGTAGTGGCACCGGGGCGACCCCGTCTGGACCTACTCTCCCAGCGGGCGAAGGCAGTGGCCCTCCTGGCCTGGACCGTTGGGCGGCTGCTGTCTGGCCTGCGGGGCGGCGCGGGGCTGGGGGTGTGTGTGCGTCTCTCCCTGATAGCTGCTGGGGGACCCCCTGGGCAACGAAAACGGGGTTGGGTCCGACGTCAGCGGGTAGACAGAGATCCTGGCCAAGGAAGTACCTGGGCGCGCGTAGAGTTTCCCAAGTTCGCGGAGTCAGGGCTGGCAGAGGCCGGCCTTCCTGGGGGCTACTTAACCGTCCAGGCCCCCGTTTTTATTTTAAACGGAAGCCCTCTCTACTTAGTCCTCTATAATGATTGTATTAGTGGTTATTTCTGCCATTCGCGAATGCCAGGCATTGTGCATCATGCCAGGTAGGCATCTCCATTTTACAGATGACAAACCTGAGGTTTAGGGAGGTGAAATAATTTGTAACAACTTGGTATCACGTTAGGACAGGCGTCAGTTTGACCTGAGCCTCGTTTACCATCGCATTTCCAGCACTTACTACATACGGTTATTCAGTAAATATGTGTTGAGTAAATTAAAGAATGAATAAATGAAGGAAAAACATACCATTTGGAGCCCGAGGACCTCGGATTGGATTTGTGCATGGCAGTTGACTGTGATTGAATTCTTTCAAGGCATTGATTTTGCAGATCTCGTTTCCATGTCTGTAAAACGAATCAATATTAAAACGAGTTTTTATGAGGGGTAATGGAGTTAATATATAAGAAAGG